CTATTACATTGTCAACTTCACTCCAAACAAAAAATTTACATTTTGATCTTCTGGCACAAAACATGCCAACCTGTACTTGATAGTAATAACCACTTGCTGCTGCAGTTTGCTTTAGTTCATACCTCCCATTTACCATTTTAACATCCCATTTACCCCCCTGTATTACCCCTTTGACAGTACCACCAAACTTGCCCAACTTTTCCTTGGTTAAACATTTTATTTCTAATATTGTTTCATCATCGATAATGCCATCCAAACTGGCACCTAACCAACTGGTTTCTGGCCGACAAACAAGTCCTGTTGAAGAAACCTTACAGTTAGTCAAGTCTTCGAAGCACTGCCTCGCTATTGGTTCAAACTTTGAACCATACCGCGTAGCTTTGTTACCATGAAAGCGAGGCTGCATATGGTCTTGTATCCAACGTGACACATCAGTTGTCTCCTTTTTTGGTACGGAGCCTGCCGTACTCCCAGTTATTCTTAATTTGCGTTGCGAGGTCCACAAAGCCGAGTCCTGTTGTGCTGTTTCAACAGCTAAATGTGATGCTCTACTATCATTCAACAAAACATATTCAGTATATATCTTTTCACAAGCACTGCAGCGTAGCTCACCAGAAGAATGATCATTATGGTTGATTTGTTTCACTTCTGGAGTGAAGCAAACCCGTTCAGTATTAACAGTGTGGTTCAATAATAAGCCTGGAATGTTGCTTAGTTCTTTCATAATCTTGCTGTTATGATGTTTTTTCATGTCCTCATCAGTTTCGAACTCAAGAAAGTTGGATGATAAGCATAGCCTCTTTTCGCCGCTTCTGATATTTTCTACCGAATCAGGTACCACATTCCTTTTTGTTCCTCGATTCCATACCATTGCCATGTCGGTACAAGCTTTGCCAATTAAGCCTTGTTTGTTAGCTTCAAGGATTTTGAAGGCTAAGCCAGCAGTATGACTGCAACATTTGCCTCTTGCAGCAATACAGTCACAGTCCACATCAATAATTTGGTTGGCATCTTTATTAACTGTAATCTGAACATCATGTTCCCTTCCGATAGTTTGAGAGTAACGGACTTTGGACTTTAGATCAATGATCCGGCACTGTACAGATCTGTACTTGTGGTACACTGTGTCGATCCAGTTAGAGTTGAAGTAATTTTGTCCTTCAAGAATACTTCTGTAGTTATGATTTGGCTGATCATCACATGCAGGGGCATTAACAAAATAATCAGTTATATCTGAAAATAAATGCAAAAAAAAAAAAAATTACTATATTATTCAAATAAGTAAATAAAAATAAATAATTTGTATCTGTTTAAGATCAAGATCAATTTTTTAAAATATGGATTACCATTCATTCATTTAATTATGTATAGGGGCCTAGCGGTTATTTATACCATGCAACATAAATAGGCCTAGGGCCCCGTCACAAGAACAGAAATTGTATATTTATTGTTTTTTATTTTTGAAATAAAGTTTGAATAGGCCTATATATATATACGGCTATATTTTCCACCAACAATATTTGCAACTGTAGTAAAATATAACCCAGTGAAGTTATAATAAACTATTCATAAACTGAGCCGAATCTGGAGAAGCCAGGCCAGGGTCGGCTTAACGAAGCATATTCAACAAGCACAGCTAGCTGGACAAACGCTACTTTTACCTCTACGTGACTCACGTGGGAGCCCATCACAAAACGAAATTATCAGCCTAAAAATCTTACCATTAAAGTTCAAAACAGGCCACTCACGAACGTCTTCTTCCCAAATGTCCACCATCATACACACTTAAGATAATTAATAAATGTATATATAGGACAATAATAAGCAAAATGTGATAATATACTGTATAATAAGATTTTGGAGCTGTAAGTATTAACTACGATGTAAACAATCAATAGGATAAATATAGCGAGGTCGCGATCGTTGTACCCCAAGCATAAAAAATCGTATTCCTGACGTTGGCGGCGCTGTTTCAAATTAGGCCAAATAAAATGGTGTATAGCATTACAAACAATTTCTTTCTAACACAATAGTTATTCAACGTATCCGTACTGTACTGCTGATGAGTTAAACGCGTAGGCTGCAGGAGCAAAATCAGCGTACGCACAGCTAAATGTAAATACGCATACACGTATACTGATCACATCACTATAGCAATTAAAGGATGGCTGCTACAACAGTTGGTTATAAAAAACTAAAATAAAAAGACGGCGATTGACTTATAAAGCAATTAGTAGAGCATGCATCGTACACTAAACGGAAAAATTATTATACTTTGGTTAGATTTAATCATTCAAAAATTTCCTTCGGGCCTTGCAGGCCCTCAGGAAATTTTTTCAAGAATTAAATCTAACCTTCGTACAATAATTTTCCTATAGTGTACTATGCAGAGCTCTACTAATTGCTTACTATAATACCATAGTTTCATTCACGGCAGCCCCGACAGTTTTAAACATTGAAATTACACTGTCATGGCATCATCATTCCCTAGGAGCCAGACCAGGTTTTGTATGCACTTTGAGGTGCAGAGAATTTGACTTCAGAAATTGGTTCAGGGTGGTTCAAGAATCATTTTTGGCTTGGTAACATATTTTCAAAATGTGGGGAAAGATCAAAAGGTCAGGGTCAAAGGTCAAAGCTATAAGGTCCTTGTATCTCCGCAACCACAGGTGGTAGAGAGTTGAATTTGGTGCCAAATTGTTCGGAACATTCATGTTTCTATTTGGTCTAATAAAAGAGTTTGCTAAAGTATTACCGGAAATGCCATTTCTGACCTTTGACATATTTTATATAAGATAGCCATTGAGTCGTGATTATCTCCGCAACCACTGGTGGTAGAGAGTTAATTTTGGTGCCAATTTCTTGGGAACATTCGTGTTTCTATTTGCTGTAATAGAAGATTTTGCTATAAAATGAGCGGAAATGCCGTTTCTAATCTTTGACATGTTTCAAGGTCATAGCCATATGGTCCTAATATCTCCGCAAGCACTGGTGGTAGAGAGTTAATTGTGGTGTCAATTTGTTCGGAATATTCATGTTTCTATTTGGTCTTTATGAAACAGTTTGCTTAAAAAATGGCTGGAAATGATGTTTCTGTCCTTTGACATGCCGACATATTATTATTATTATTATTATTATTAAGGCATATATATGCTTATCTCTGTACATACTTGCTGTTAAAAAAAAGTAATATGTATAAATAGTAATAATGTATGTACGTATGTATGTATGTATGCATGCTGTATGCA